AGAGAGAGAGAGAGAGAGAGAGAGAGAGAGAGAGAGAGAGAGAGCAAAGCCTGAAAGGATGGTACTTTTCCTTTTCTGTTCCTGGGGGAGGGGGTGGTTTTGACTCACAGATTTTTTTCTCTTGCAGGCAGTGGGACCCCACCTCTCCAATGGAGAGGGAAGTTTCAGTCTTACATGGTCCTGGCCACCATGTAGATAGTCATCAGCCACCAAGAGGGTGCTCAAACAGCAATGTAAGCAGCTTGAGGTGGTCTGCGTCCCCTCGGTCCACTTGCGTTCACCCTGGACACACATACGCATGCATCCAGGGCACCTGTTCTGAGCTCAGTGAGCCCCTCCAATAGAGCTGTGAGACCACAGTCACAGGAAGTTCCCATCACATTTCACTTGAGGATTTCTCCCCCAGCTCAGTCACCATTCTCCCAGCTCTGGCTCATGTCTGAATAACTACCTGCTGTGTCAGCAGAGGCAAATCTGTCAAGGTAGAAGGTAAATTAATGTTCTTTTTAAGGCTGAAAGACAGGAAAGATTGTGGGGAATGTCAGTAGGTACACAGTGTGTTTGAGTGTGACAAATTGTTTTAAGAGCAGATGGTGGTAACTGTAGCTTATACAGGGAATATACTACAAACCACTGACTTGTACACTTTAAATGGGAAATTTTATTCTATCTTGGTGATAAAACTATTAAAAATAACCTTAGGATGAAAAGAGAGGCCTACATAGGCTTGACAGTGATAACTAAGAGCAAGATAAGAGACTTAATAATTTGCTTGATCCAATTGGCATCGTACTATAAGCAGTAATCTGATAATTAAAACTCTCTTCTTTTAATTTTTCCTTTTCAATAACAGTAAACACATAATAGCTGACTTTTACTGAACACATTTTATGTGCTTGACACTCTCCCGCACAGTTATTACATCCTTACAATGATAGCAATTATATAGGCATTATTAATTCATTCATGTGGTTAATATTCATGGAGCTATCTTTATGCCCTGAAGCTTCCTGGACCCAACATCTAACCTTATTAAATAACAAACCAGTTCTAGACACTTTGCTTCCATTCTGGAGAATTTCTTTGGGGTCACACACAGCTGGTACAGAGTAGGGGTTGGGCTCCCTCATACATCCCTGGAGACTTGCAATCTACACATAACATAGCTGATTTATTGCTATTTAAAATGAGATGCAGGCAAAGAAGATAGAATAAGAACACACCTATAATATTCAAATGACGGAACTAAACAAAAAAGGGGATACAGATTAATGTCCATGTTGCATCTGTGTATGAAAAATGGTTAGGGTAGATACATAGTTACATTCTCTTAATGAATAGAGGGATTTGTTGTAATAGTGTTTGTAAATAGGATATCATGTCCACATCCTGTACAGCAAATAACCACTAGGAAGAGAGTATGCAATGTGTTAAGTATTGGAACTGTCATACCAATTTGATTTGAAACTGTCTCATTGTTATTTGTTTATCAATAAAATTATGGGAAAAAAGAGTCTGAAACAACAACAACAACAACAACAACAACAACAACAACAACAACAAAAGAAAAGCTGAAAGGAAAGAGAATTACCTGAAGTGTCTTTGTTATTTAATTCACTGTTCTATGACTATAGGTAGAATTCATCAAGCAGGAAAGTTCACTTGAGGCCTGTATCCTGTACTCTGACTAGCCAAACAGATATTCGGTGACTAATTGTTCAATCCCCATGAATACATCATAGACCCAACTTCTTCTGATCTGAGGTCTCCTGGGTCTCACCGCTGGGCTGTTATTATATAATTTCTGATGCATTTGGTAATTTCATTGAGAAACTATAAACCACTTTTATATTACATAAGAAAAACAAAGTCTGCTTGGCACTTGTAATCAATGTGTATTCTTATTTTTGTAGATGTTGGAAGGGCACAGCTGTATTTTGCTGAGTTATTCATCTTTTTTCTTCTTATTATTCTAATGATGAATGGTGTTTAAGGAAGTTGATTCTGTGCTGCATAGACATAGCCTGCGCACGGTTTTTATTGTATAATTGGAAAACTTAACATGAAGACAACCACGCCAACCAAACGTAATGTCTTTGGTGATGTGGAAAACCTGCGGGGCAGTAATGGCTGTGAAATTATGCTACAGTGATGGAAAAAAGCAAGTGCAATTTTATTTTAAGCATCCAATGATACTTTTTAACTTTCACTTTTTGATCCCGAATTATAAGATCACTTTGACATGAAATATGCTGATATAGTACTTTTTTCATCATTGTGAAATACAGTACACTCTCCAAGGTATGCCATAGTTACATTTTCATAGTTAATTGGCATGATAGCATATTCAACATAATTTAGTCCATTTTCAGTATACAATGTACAGTATACAGTACATTGTAGCAAGCTGTTATAAATATATATTATTCATGTATTTGAATGTGCTCACAACATGGTCCAGGATGAGAGTTGGGCCAGTATTTATTATACTGAACTATGGCTTAGATGTTTCACATGCATCCTTTTCTCCTTAGATCTTCCAAATTTCCAGAGAAATTTATTAAGTTCCCTAGATGAAGAAACAGCTCAGAGAGTTCGAGATGCTTAAGTACAACCAACAAGTGACAGACTGAGATTGGGACATTACGATCTGAGCCCTGAAGCCCACTGTGCTGCCCACAGCATTTCTGTGTCCCATTTCTAGCTCCAAGTCCCATTCCTGTGAACAGTCTTGCCTGCCACAAGCCTTGGAGCCTGGCTGTCACTGTGACCCTTTCTTGCTGTTACTTCATAAATGTGGTTCATAATTCATGAAAATAGTGGAATACTGAAAAAATGAAAGTCAGAGAAACTTGAGAATGACATATAAGATGCATTAGAATTTTTCCTGTGCCATGTGAAATTATCTTTCTAAGCCAATCTCTATAAAGGAGCTCTCTGTGACTCAGCTATCTGAAAGGCAGACTGAAGGCCCCGTCCTTCCTTCTTTCCTCTGTTCTGACCAAATGAGGGCAGCTGTGAAGAGCAGGGTGGGGCTCCCAGCAGACAGGGGGCAGGTAGCCAGCAGAAGAGCCTGGAATATGTTTAATTGGTGAGCCATCTCTAAAAGCAAACAACTGAGAACAATATGGTTGAAAGTGCCTGCAATTTTAAGAAAAAGTACTGAAAAAGCATGACTTGGAGAAAGAAGCATGCTGAAATAGTCCAATATTTCAATACATAAAATAAAGGGCAGAAAAGAGAATTGGAATTAATGGATTCTGGGCCATTTCTAAGCTTAGTGTAATATTTATATGAGTGCAGACATAAGTAGTTACAGACATAGAGATGTCAAATATACATACTTGTAGGGAGCTGCGTGTAGCCGCGCCCTAGGATGGCGCCGGTTTCCGCCTTCCACCCCCTCAAGGGGTGAGCGCTCCTGGAGTAAACAACTCCATATATGGCCAAGGCTTGGGCTAAGGCATTGCTTCCGCAGACCTGGACCAATGGACAGTGCATATGTGGCACCCCATGGTTGGAAGCCCTGAGACTTATAAGCTAAGAGCAGGGGCCTCGAGGGGGAAGAAGACAGATGTAAGAAAACAATAAAGAGCTGTGCAGAAAACCAACCAGTGGTCGCGTTATTCTTGCTGGCAAGGCCGCGCGCAACACATACTGTTCATTTTAATTTAGAAAAACCCAGGAAAATTTTGTTTGTGATCTAGAATTCTTTTTTGGTTAATTCTAGAACATCATCTGTCATATTTGAGAGTAGAATAGGATTCTTTCAGAAATGCAAGGTTTCACAGAGAACAAACTGGGATAGCATAAGCCACAGGTCCAGAAGATAGGAAACCAACATTGGAAGTAGGCACAACCAAAAATATTGAGTCTATGTTGAAGAAAAATAGCCACAAGTGTTGAATGTGATTGCTGTTTTATTTGGGTTTGTTTGGTTTTGCTTTTTAAACAGGGTCGTGCTTGCTAGTTCAGGCTGCTCTTGAATGCCCTAGGTATCCCAGGATGAAATTAGACTTGCGGAAATCCTCTTAAGTCAGTTCCCCAAGTGCTAGGAATCACAGGCATGTACCACCACACTTAGTGAAAGGATTGCTTGTGAAGAAAGAATAGCTCACATGTTTGACAATTGTAGCCATGTGCCTGTGTTTCTTTGACAAATTTGGTTTTTGTAACATTGGTAAAATTTTCCTCCATATTCAGAAAACACTAATAGACTTTCTTCAGCTGGTCAATAAAACAAGAGTTCAGGAAGATTTGATAAATTTGAATCTTTAAAGATTTTTTTAAAATATGAAAAGCCATGTGCATTTATTTACAGGTCTTAATACAGCAAAATGTGAATGAAAATTGAGAGCGCTGCTCTTTAGGCAAGTGTGTTAGTTGATACATTGTGTCAACTTGGCTGAATCCGCTCGGCAGCGTGGGGGCCTCGCCCTGTAGGTCGGCAGGGCCCAGGAATTGAGAAAGGCAGGAAGCTGCCCTGCCTGGTTTCCTGTTGCCCCACCCTGCTTCCATGGAGGAGTCTCAGTCTTGGAAGGAGCTTGATCTTGGCAGCCGCGCCACTTTGGAGGAGCTCGGATCTTCACTCTGCCGGTCTTCAAAGTCAGCGCAGAAGGAAGAGAGAGGCTTGATGGACGCCGCCGCAGCTGCTGCTCCTCCTCTGCTCTTCATTGTTTTCTGCCGCATGAACTGCTGTTGTTTGCCTTGGAGCCAGCGGAATATGGACTGAACCCTCCAGTAACTGTGAGCTAAATAAACCTTTCCTTCCTTCATTTTGAGTGTCCGGTATTTGTCCCAGCAACGAGTAAAAAGTAACTAAGACAGCAAGTAACTTTAAAATTTAGTTTCAAGTAAAAAATGGAGTTTTTCGAAACAACATATTCATATAAAATTTACCTTACCTTATGGTTATGCTCTAAGAGTACATGTTACAACAATCAGTAAGAGGGCTCCTTTTATATTTCAATTGAAATGAACATAAGTAGAAATGAGTAATTTTCTTTTATGTAGTAGCAAAAAGAGTCGATAATCCTTTCAAGAAAGAGACAATTTCATTTCCTCCCAACTTGGATTCACCATAAACGTGATCCACAAATGATATTGGAACCTCACCAACAGTGTAGTCCAGTTGCCTCGCTCGAACGATCATCTCCATCTGGAAGCCGTAGCCTCGAGAGACACATCGTTCTATTAACTTCTGTAGAACTTCTTTTTTGTGTAATCTGAAGCTTCCTGTTAAATCAGATGCTCCTGGTCTCAGCAAGACCTGAGTTATAAAATTGGCCCCACGGCTGATCATTTTTCTTTTCAAATCCCAGCCATACATACCTCCATTTCCTTTGTAGCGTGTTCCAGAGACAATATCAAAATTACCTTCCCTTTGCTTTCTAATGAATTCAGGAATAAATTTTGGATGGTGAGAGAGCTCAGCATCCATGATACTTTTGTCTGATCCGTAGATCTTTTCCAACTGTCCAGCTACGTCCCTTGTTCCATCTGGGCTTCCATCATCTATGATTATAATTTCATAGTTGAATCCACTCTCAGAGAGGCTTTTCACCAGCAGCCACACGATGAGAGGCAAGTTCTCGCGCTCGTTGTAGGTAGGTAACAACACCGAATACTTGTTCCGGGGCTGGGAGCGGCCCTCCGGCTCCCAGGGAGACCCGACCGGCACATGATTTGCCACCATGTGGTCACGGCGGAACTGTCTACAAAGATTTTTAACAGAATTCTAAAATTTGAGCAAACATAAAAGATTAATAAATATGAAGTGAGGCTCACCCTGAAGATTGCCAGGGAGTCCTGGTGTGCCTAGCCCAGCATGTCCCCCAGATGAGTTTTCTGAGTCCCAGCTGTCTATCCTTGGAAGACTACTGAGGGTGACCTGATGGGCCTTTTCCCACCCTACTTTCATGCTCACCTGAGCTCAGCTCAATCCTCACCACCAATTCTTATCCAGAAGACTGTCAAGGAGACCCAGTGGGCCTTACCTGGCCATGCAACCAACAATTGCCAGAGCTCAGCTGAGCCCTGGCCACCTGCCCTTGCCTGAAGGACAGCCAAGGGCACCTGGTGAGCTTTGCGCTGACCCCCTTGCCCTTTTCTCAGCTTAGCTGGGCCCAGCCATTCATCATTGTCCAGTGAGACTGCTGCAGGGACCAGAAACCAGGTGCCTTAAAGACTGCCACAGGGACATGCAGGAGCCTTCATGGTCCCTAATCAGTGCTCACCCACCACCGAGAGAGCCTCAGAGAGCTTCAACCTGCATTAATCAACATCAGATCCTTCTTGAGCTGCAGCTTGCCCTCCCCCCCTACCAAGGTAGAACCCCACACAGTGGGTGCTTTGGTGAGCCTTCGCTACCCTCCTACTTTCCTAAGAGCCTTGCTAACACACACTCACCCTCTACCATGACTGCAGAGTTAGAGAGAACATTTAGATCTTCAAAAAATGACAAAAGGAAGGAACAAAAGGCAATCTCAGACCTCTAGCCCACTCAAAACAAGTCTAGGCAACAAGGTCATAGAAGAACTTGTAAGTCACACACCTGAATTTTTTGAGATAAATGCAACTGAAGTAAATAACTCCATCAGGCTATGAAGGAAATAAGATCAGAAATAATCTCTCAGATAAAAATTGAAATGTCAGCTATCATGAAAGAATTGCTGAATACATCTAAGGAAGATATAAATAAAAATAGAAGGGAATAGGAAAATGATGAAAACATTAGATGAACAATACAGGAGAGAACTGCAATGCATGAAACAGATTCAGATATCCAGGACATTAAGAATTTAATTGAAAGTTGGCAAAATCTCTTGAATGAAACAGAAGATAGAAATCACACCTGGAAGATAGCATGACACCTAGTGAACACAAAAGGAAAGATTTTACAAAAATAGCAAGGAATCAGGAAATAACAATACAAAGCTATAAGATGATGCAAATAAAAATATTGTAAGGCTAATAGGTATTGACAAACAGCTGGACTTAACACAAATCACATAAAAAGTCTACTTGCAGAAGTAGTAGCAGAAAGTATCCCAAGCATGGGAAAGAATCTGATGTACAGTTAAGTGAAGCATATAGAACTCCAGATAACATAATCCAATTAAATCTTCTAGCAGGCACATGATGATCTGGATCCCAGAAATTTAGCAAAACAACAAGATATTAAAAACTATTAGAGAGAAGAAACAGATCACCTGTAATGGAAATACCATCAAAATCATGGCAGATTTCTCAACACAGACCATCAAATAACCAGGAGCTTGGAGTGAGATATTCAAGGTCTTGAAAGTAAACAACCTCCAACCCAGATTGATGTACCTTGAAAAACTACCTATTAAATTTAATGGAGAGATAAGATACTTCTATGACAAAGAACAACTGAAGAAATTCATGACAACCAAACCAAAACTACAAAGAGTACTGAAAGATAGTTTAGAAAGAGACAAAGATGACCACAACTTCAAGAACATAAGAGAGCCACCGAGCAGAACAAGAAATTAAGCAAAGGTGAAAAGTAGGAGTCCTATAGTAGGATAACAACATGACAAAGATAAGCAAATACATAACAATTATAATCATCAATGTAAACAGCCCCAATTCACCAATCAAAAGAAGCAGACTGGCACAGTGAATCAAGAAACAAAATCCAAGAAACATATTTAACTAAAAAAGAAGTTAATATACTGAACAACAAAGGAAGGAAAACAATACACCAAGGAACAGAAACCAGAAAAAAAGCAGGGATAGCTGTTCTGGTAGCTGACAATGTCAACTTCAAACCAATTGTGATTAAAAGGGACAAAGTCTCACTAGATGCTTGTTAGGGGAAAATTACAAAGGCAAGAAATAATAGTTATACATAAATATACACCCAATGTATGAGCACACAACTATATCAGACAAATTTTAACTAACAAGGAAAATATAATAGGCAATAGCATAACTATACTGGGAAACTTTAACACCCCACTGACAAACAGAGATAGATCAACCATGCAAAACACTAGCAAAGAAATGACAGAACAAAACCAAACTTGTAAATAAATGGACTTACTACGCCTTTACAGAGTGTTCCACCCAATAGCATCAGAATACAGATTCTTCTCAGCTGCACATAAGATACGCTCCAAAACAGACCATGTGCTAGCAGATACAACATGCTTTAGTAAATGCAAAGGAAGTGAAATTATCCTATGAATATTATCTGACCATAGTGCAATGAAACTGGAAATGATTGACAAAAGAAACAGCAAAAAACTATAAATACATGGAAACTAAATAATGCCCTTCTGAACAATCAATGGATCACAGATAAAAATAAAGAAAAAATAACATTTACAAAAGAATGAAAATGCAGGTACAACTTAACAGACCTATGGAATACAAGGAAAGCTGTCCTTTTTTTCCCCATAATTTTATTGAGAAACAAATAGCAATGAGACAGTTTCAAATCAAAATGGTAGGACAGTTTCAATAATGAACACATTACATACATTCTTTCTAGTGGTTAATTGCTGTACAAGATGTGGACATGATATCCTATTTACAAACACTATTAGAACAAATTCCCCTATTCATTAAGAGAATGTAACTATATATCTATCTTAACCACTTTGAATACACAGATACAAAATGGA